GCAGTGACCTTGGCCACCTGGAGGCCCGGGCGGCGCGCACCGACCGCGCGGGGAGTGGATTTCCTGCGGGGCGCCCTGGAGAGCTCCCGCTTCCTGTTTGTGTTTCACGCGCAACAAGCTCATTAGCAAGTGTGAGAAATGCCTGCTTTGCTAACTGCTGACTGGCATGACCTCACCGGGGGCGCAGCCGTCCCCCCTTCCTCCCGGAATAGACCTCGGGCTCCGCGCCCCTGCGGGGACCGTCTGCGCCGCGCTTCCTGCCGCGCGGGGGGCTGCGCCCGGATCTAGGGGGCCTGCCCCCCTGGGCGACTCTCACAAGGGTGACGCACGAGCTGTCGCGGCTGTGCCAGGACCACAGTTCCACCGGGAAACAAGCACACGTCCCCTCCCCCAGCTGTCCGCCTGTCGTGGCCGTGTCCCCCCCGCCCCACGCCCAGGCGCGACCCCGGACTTCGCCGCGCCGTGGCTTAGGGCTCAGGCCGAGGTCACCCTTAGAGCTCGTTGACGTTCTCAATGCTTCTTGCCCTTACCCGCCTGCAACTGGACATAACAAAATATAACTGATTTCCTATTTTTCATTCGTGCCCAATGTACTCTCAAGCTTCAAGAATGATCCCCACGCGACCCAAGGTCTAGCGTATCCAGATTGTATTATTTTTATGTTTTCCTTGTCTCAGTAGCTTATGGTTATTTTTTATTATTCATTTAAGCAAAATAATTTCTCACCAGCACGCACCTTTCCATCCTGGAGATCCTAATGTTTCATCTTCCCATCGTTCCTAGCTGTGCGCTGGCTGGGAGCCGGCGTGTCAGAACTTTGCACGTGTTCATTCGTTTACTCCTCACAACCACCTCGTCAGGCTCATTTTTACATTTATTTCACACACATTGACTGAGAACCACTACGTGCCAGGCACTGAGCTATGTCCTAGGGGTATAGACGTGTGTCCGGAGGGGCAGTGGAGGCCCAGGGAGGTGGGCCTGCCCTGGGTGACACACCCTGGCATTAGAATTGCAAACGTTCCCCGGGTTCGTTGATCACTCTGCCTACACAGGGCCTGCGCCGCCCAACTCCAGGGGGCGCCATTCACACTGCCCATGGTGATCACACCCTCTAGAGTTGTGCGATGTAGCCCTGAGCAGCTGTGCCCGGCCGTCCTGACATTTCATAGCCCTCCCTCTGTCCGGTCTCTTCTAAGTGTGGAGGGGACATGCTTTGTACCAGGGAAGGACAGTGTTTCCTGTCCTCGCGGGGCTCCGGGCCTGGCGGGGGACCCTGAGTGTGCGGGA